TGGGGTGGGCCTGCGTTGAACTGAGACCTTCACTGTCCTTCCTCCAAGGTACGACAACCGGTGTCGGCACCTGACGCCCGCGGAGGTGTCGGAGAAGCTGTCGCAGGGCCTGGAGTGGGTGGTTCGGTTCCGGCTGGAGCCGGGGGTGGAGCCGTTCCGGGACCTGGTCTATGGCTGGAGCAAGCACGAAGTGGCAGAGGTGGAAGGTGACCCAGTGATCCTCAAGGGGGATGGGTTCCCCACTTACCACCTAGCAAACGTGGTGGATGACCATCACATGGGCATCAGCCACGTCCTGCGGGGAACCGAGTGGCTGACTTCGACGTCCAAGCACCTGCTGCTCTACAAAGCCCTTGGCTGGGACCCCCCTCAGTTCGGTCACCTCCCGCTGCTTCTGAACACAGATGGTGGGAAACTGTCCAAGAGGCAGGGGGACATCTTCCTGGAGCGTTTTGCTCAGGATGGCTACTTGCCAGAGGCCCTGCTGGACATCATAACCAACTGTGGCTCTGGGTTCACAGGTAATGGTGACAGGCTCTGTACTGGTTGGGGCACTTCTTGATGCTGATCCTGGGGAATGGGTTGGGTTGATTTTAATAGCCAAGAACTCTGACAGTGTTTGAAGGGGTCAGGTGGCCAGTCTGTTGCTGAAATGCTACCAGGGCTTCTGCAGAGCTCCTGGGTGGTGTGCTGGAATGGTGGGAACCTTCCTGCCTCTCTGCAGCTATTTGACTGGTGCTTAATGGGCTCCCACTTGCAACAACATTAATTTCAACGTGAAGAAACTGTCTGTAAACTCCTGGGAAAAGGTGCATTCTGTGGTTAATAATTGCAGTGTTGTGTGTTACGTCTGTCACACTTCTCGTTTAACCTGAAAGACCACGAGAGGTTGAGTCAATGACTCCTGTTGCTCTTGCTGTGTGGGGATCACAAGTTGACTTGCATTTCAGGGACTCTTCTGGGGAATGAAATCTTCCCTGAGCAGTGGAGCTTCTAGGCTGAGTGTTAATTCTTTTTAGTTGACTGATGCAAGGGGTGTTCCACCAAAGAGCTTGCTCTTAAGGAGGGGGCAGCTTCCCAGGTGTGACTGCTCCCAGTTCCCTCCTGTTTGCTTGGGTACGTCCCTTGTTGGCACTGTGAGAAGTGGCTCTGCTGTGTCATCCCCTGCCCCAGCCCTGTGCCTCAGGCTGGCAATGGAAGGCAGGAACACTGCTGCTCTGCAATAGAGTGACATGTCTCATTCCTGTGTTGGGTTCTTTTGCAGAGAAGCAGATGGGAAGGACTTTGGAGGAGCTGATCTCCCAGTTTGAAATAGGCAGAATTACAACACATTCTGCCCTCCTGGACCTTGAAAAACTCCCAGAGTTCAACAGGTATAAACATCAGTAACTTCCAAACTTAATCATGTGTATGTCAGTGAGAATTTATTCCTGGCACCTGGCTTTCTCTGTCAGTTTTGGTTGGTAAGTGTTGTGAGGGTGGGGTGATTGGCTTCAGCCTGACCCAGAGCAGCCCAGTTTCCCTCTTTGTTCCAGGATTCACCTTGTCCGTCACATTGAGAATGAAGGGCTGCGACAGAAGCTGGTTAGAGAGTTGCAGCTGCTGGTGGAGCACGTCTATGGGGATCAACAAGTAGATCAAGATGTTCTAGAAAAGGAGTATGTGGAGCGAGTCCTCCTGCTGAGAAAAGTACGAGCAGCAGTAGCACTGTCGGCCTGCTGGGGAGCTGAGGTTTTGTGGGATTCCTGGAGGGAGAGTCGGCTGAGTCCTGGGCACTGCAATCTGAGCTCTGAAGCTCCACAGCCTGCAGGCAGCCAGCTTGGGTGGTTGTGTGTGCAAGGGCTGCAGAATCAGCTCATATACTTAGCTGACCTGTAGGCATGGGCATGGTGAATATCTTGGTGGCCTCTGCAGAGTCATAAACTCATCTGCACTTTGCCGAGCCAGCCAAGAGCTCCCTTGGCAGGGGGGCATGGATGTCTCTCTGCCATGAAAGTGAATCATGGGACTCTAGGATGTTTCTTGGAAGATGTCTCTGGTTCCTGCTTAGAGCAGGACTCTCAGTAGTGCTGGATCAGGTCAGCTGTGGCTTTGGCTAGATGTGTGGTGACAACCTTCAAGCAGCACTTCTGCTGTAGCCTGGGATGCAGCTGGCATGTGGTGGAAGGTCCAGCACCCATAGCCCCTCCTGCCAGGAGACTGCTCACCTCTGCTTGCTGAAGAAGCCAGCAGAAGGTGCTTCTACTTTTCCACTGCTCTGTGCTTTGGAGCAAAGTCAGAGCAACCTCTTTGCAGAGGCAAATGAAGCTCTGGTTAAACTGGTGGGGTTTGTACCTTGGGAGCCCAGATCTGGGATAAGTGGCAGAGTGCTGGCTGTAAAGGGAACAGATGATGTTGTGGCTCTTCACGCTGCCAGGAAGGAGGATGACCCCAGCTGTTTCCCAGTCTGCCCCTGGATGCTTCTGTGGTATCTGGGGGATTCCTGGTGAAGAATAAAGCCTTTGGGTTTGTGGGTGTGACCAGCTCAGCTGCCTAATTGTCAGTGACCGCCTGAGCAGCGTGAGGTGCAAGGCCACGGTGTCTGCAGTCCAGGCAGGATGAGCCTGCTCTGGCTCAGCCCTCAGCCTCACAGCTTTGCTTTCTTTCTACAGGGACACATAAGCTTCCTGAAGACTCTGGTGTCCTCTGATTATTCTTACTTATGGGTTAGGCCCTCAGTGTCCCGAGAGCAGCTGCAAACTGTTTCTGCAGAAGTAGATGAAATAGGAAAACTAGTCTTAGGGTAAGTGTCTGTTCCCAGCTCTGCACACCCCCACCTGCCTGCCCCAGAGCATTGCTTGGGGCTGCTTATCCATCTTGGGCATTTCATTTGCTCTACTTCAGAAGGTGCTGTAGTTAATAACTGGTGAGAAATTCCATGTGTTTATTTGAAAAGCAGCTTGCCAGCAGGCAAGCTCCCATCAGAGCTCTCAAACACTTGGGATTTGTAGAGCACGAGGCACAGCAGCCTGTGCTGAGGGAGCAGTGGCCTTGGCAGGGCCTTCCCACCAGATCCCCTGAGCTTTTGTCCGCTCTGGTGTCCAGCTGGAGAAGTGTAAGAGCATTTGTCAACATGTGTTCACATTGTGTCATGAGACTTTTGGGTCTCTGGAATGAGCCCAGTTTGTGTCCAGTGGGAATTGCTGTCATTCTGAAGAGCTTGTTCCCTCCTGCTTCCATCTCTTGGTGTCTGGCTGCCAGCTGGCAGTTCTGGCTGCTGGGAAGTGGTGTCAGGGTGGTGCACAGGCTGCCCAGCCTAGGACCTGGCACAGCAGGAGCCAAGGGCAGGGAAGTTTACCCTGAGCTGCTGTCCTTGCCAGAAGATTTTGCAAACTCAGTCAGGTGGCTGGCAGTCATCAAAGTCCTTTGTTGTTCCTGGGGAGGAATCTTGTGTTTTGTATGTCCCAGACTAAGGACATCTTCTTTCTTAAAGGCTCATGACAAGGCAGGCAGCAGTTTTGTCCATGGAGGAGTTGAACAAAGACCTGAAAAGCCTCCAGAAGCAAACCAAAGAGACCAAGTACAGCAGTGTGATGAAGCTCCTTCGCTTGGCTCTCAGTGGGCAGCAGGTAAAAAATAAAAATTCTGAGAGTGGGACCTTCTGGATATTTTAAACAGCTATTTTCTCTGTGAAAGCAAGATACTGGTATTTGGACATCTCACAAGGACTGACATCAGTTGCTATTAGGAGTGAATGTACCACTCGACAGCAGCTCTGGAGGAAAGGGCTGTTGTGAAAGTTTCAGAAAGGCAGGAGTTGTCAGAGCAGGAAT